GATCAATACCAGGCAGTCTGATGGAGAAATTACTGGTTTTAATGATCTCAATCTTGTTTTTCGTTGTATTGCTTTTATTGTTGATGAGTATTTACTTTTATGCCTCTACTGGTACCATCATGCATTGCTTTTCTATTGCTTTTATTGTTATTATCCGTCTCTATTTTTGGTAACTGTGAAGCACTTTGGAACAGCAGTTTTGAAAAGTGCTATATGAATAAAACAATAAAGTGTATTATTGTCTGTAATATTAGATCGCGTGTGACCGAGCAAGTCGCCACTGTTTCTTTAACCAATGAGAGCAGCTCAACTCGCAGTACGTTGAAAAAAACAACATGATGCCGAACTCGAGGCTTAAAACGATACTCCACGAACAGATTGTTGATCTTCTCTCACCCCTTTACGGTATCTGTGGATACTTCAGAGGCTTAGTTATCGGTTTAAATACACTATCAGTCTTTTTATCGCTGTCTTTCAGGTGGTATTAGAACAATAATCGACATTAAGTCTTTAGATATTAGTTCGAAAATATGTTTTTGTGTAAAATGTGGTACAAAAATGTGTGGTAAGCAAATATTATGATTGCGAAATGATTCACGATTAGTTTAAATGAGAATCTTTGCATCACAATTTTAATTCTCACTGAAAAAAAAAACATGATGTGACATTTTTTGAGATCTGTGTACATCTGGAGAACAAGACTCGTTGGCCAGGGCTGGTGCTTTTGTTTCACTATAATACTGTTTTGTCACATTGAACAAAAAACAGCGACTTTTGTGATTTTGATAATATTTCAACTTCAAAATGTCCTTGTGTGTGTTTATGCAGTTATTATTTATTACATCTGATCACTCCAAATGTAAAACAGCACATTGTTTGTTGAGTGTACTTACTTACTGTGCTTTAGCATTCAAACACAGTGTGATACTACTGTACGTCAGTTCATGTGTGTGTGGTTATGTCTGTCTGTGTGTGTGTGTGCATGATAAACTGTAAATTAATAAATATGAACAAGGATTAGTGTCTATTGGAAAATAGTTTCCGTGTTCCACTTTTACCGGTGAAATAAAGAAAGAAAGAAAGTGCAGAAAGGAGGAGAGAGAGAAAACTAAATGTCTCAAACTTGGAGAGAGAACGTTAATGATTGGTAATGAGCACGGGGTCTCGCGGTCGCCACGGTAACCACCGACCACAGAGACGGTTGCCATGTCATCATGTCAGAACGTGTTTATTTATGCTGCTGGTACCGCCGAACACACACAGAAACACACTCAGACGAAGATACAGACACACACACACACACACATTCAGAGTCCCCTTTTCATCAGTCATCATAAGAGCCATAACACACACACACACACACACACACACACAGATGTTCCCTGTGGAAAGATGAGTGTTTCATATTTGCCCTTTATACTTATTGGTTATAACACCCCACACCCGAAAAAAAGCACACATCTACACACTCACACTACAAAGATCCACATACACAGATAAACACACACACACGTACACACACACACACACACACACATGGTCCTCATACGTGCATTTGGAAAATCACTGGATCATCTGGTATTAAACCACTTACAGTAGGTTCAGCTGTAACGAGGAGCAACTGGGGAATAAAAGTTCAACTGGAGTTTTTCTTCTGGAAGAAACAGCATTTTTTACTGTGAAGTTTACTGGTATGAATGTAGCACCCGTGACAGCATTGTATTGATTATTGATCAGTAGTGGTTATACCTTGGTTCAGTTGCTGTTAACAGATGAGAAGAGCTCAGTGAAGACAATTATAGAAGCCTGTTTACGTGGTGTTTTTAGTAATTACTCTAGACATTCGTTTATACTTGTATATACTTTGTATACTTTCATTGTACGTACAAACCTTGTGTTTCTTACTGTACATATGACAATAAACCTCTTGAATCTTGAATATGCTGATAGTAGCTTTCCTGCCCTGAACTGATCAGGCATAGTAACATTTAACATTTTTATTACGGTCTGGATGTTTGTCCAGTTGTCATTTAAAGTATCTACATTTAATGATTATCACTCTATATAAGCAGGCTTGGGAAGTAACAGATTGCATGTAACTGAATTACGTATTCAGGATACAAAGAAAAGGTAACTGCAATTACAATTAAAATTACAAAATACTTATATTAATATAGAAAATATAATATATAATATATAATCGTAACATGACTTTGGCCACAACTCGTAAGTAACAGTTCAAATGAAGTAGTATTTATTTAATTTAACATAAAATTGATCTTCTCACCTTTCAAAAGAAGAAGTAGAAAGTCTTTGTTGGACGTACACTTAACAGTTCTGTGCTTGTATTTATTAACTTTTATTTCAATTTATTAATTTTAAGAAATGTTAACTCACTTTGAAGTGTCACAACACGTAGTCAAGTTTCAAACAAAATACATAGGCAATCAGTGGCGTCCATGTTTTCCAGGATGTGTGGGAACCCTGACTTTGTAAACCCGGTTTTAAAAGGTGATATATGAATAAAGTTTATTATTATTGATGTTTTGGTCTTTTCATTGGATTTATTGAAAGAAAAATGCAGTGATTATTTTACTCATTTATGATATCAAATATTATTCCTCAGAAATAATCTGGTATTGTTACACAGAGAAACTGACAGGACGGTTTTACCTGGTCGGGCATGAGCGGCTCCTCATCGTCGATGTCAATAAAAACCTCCCCACAGATCAACTGGGGCGTCTCACCTACACATATAAACACAGCAGAAAGACATTTTTTTAATATTGATCATCAGCCTGACTCTTTGCTAGGACACATTTATATCTATCCACGTCTTACGTCTCCATTCCTCGTCCTCCTCCAGCGCCGCTCGCTCCTCCTCCGGGACGCACCGGTACTCCTCCAGCGACCGGATGGTGCACTGACCGACCACCGGCTTCCTCCCAAACTGACGGTTGTCGATGACTTTGATGGTGATCGGCGGCATGTAGAGCTCCTCGCAGGGAAGTTGCTGCGCAGAGACGGAAGGAATTCACGAGAAAGAGGGATTAAAAAAGACATAAGAAAAGGAAAGAATATGAAAAAGAAAAAGACACATACACAAAGAGACAAGCTGAGTGACCTACAGACTCTGATTGGTTATGCCATCTGCCTGCCTGATGCTGATTGCCTATGGCTGCTGACTGTCTGAAGCTGATTGGTCACGCCTTGGTGACAGTCCAATCAGGGCATCGTTACACCTTAGCTGACCCCTCCCACGTAAAGGAAGAAATGAGGTAGGGGTTCTGATCTTTGTGAAGGGAAATCAGGACACAAACACCACTCTGAGTTAAGATCTCGGTTTAGGATTTAAAAGAAATGTTTACATGTACGGTGACACCGCGAAACGCAACGTTTATCTTTTCCACCGCATTCAGCAAGAATTATTGTCACTATAATGATTTTAGAGCCACAGGTCTACTTTCACTACTATTTTCTTCATTTCTGCACCTTAGCTGAACCCAGTTTCTGTCTAAATGTATGCAATTTTGCTTCTTTTGTATGCAAACTTTAATTAAAATAACTTTCTTTATCACAACTAGTTGTTTTAATGTATTCATGGGTTCTTCAGGACAGCACTTGCTCAAAAACGATCATATGATTTACTGATAGGAGTATTGACAGTCTTTTTATTCCTTCTTTTCTAATGATGTGAATTTATTATGTAAATAAAACTCCAATAACATGTAGATATGACCGTCTGCAACATATCCTACTGGGCTTCTCTCAGAATTTTTAATTTAAATCAAAATACACACCCAGGTTCATGGAGGCAACCTGAATGAGGGGCAAAAATATGATAATTTTCTATAAATGATTTCCAGGATTTTTGGTCATTTTAATCAATTTCTAGGACTTTCCATGACTGAAAAACTAGTTTTTAAATGTCCAGGTTTTCCAGGACGCGTGGGAACCCTGCTATTGGTTTTAGTTTTACATTTTAAATTGGCAAAGCTAAGCAACATAAACACAGTAAAGCCTCGCTCACGGCAGAATTTAGAAAGTGCAAATTTTGCAGCTAATTCAATGAAATTAAACCACATATTTTACGAAGTTGTGCCATTTTAAGTAAGGAAAGTGTATTGATTGACTTTAGCATCATTAGTTGATAGAGCTAATTGATGCAGAGAGGTAGAATGGATTACAATTAAGAATATGTATTTTCTTAGTTTTGTTCTTGAGTCTTTCTGGCTTCACATAAGATATTGTCTTGAAATATAGCTGCTGCACAATGTATATTTTATACATATCTATGTTGAAAAAATGGGCTTGTTGTAAATCTCTTGCTGCTGCTGATAATACAGGTGTTAGCTAGTCTGCTGGGGTCAAATTCAAAGCTGATTCTGCGGCTGCTAAACACAGACAACCTGCCTCATATTCAACTTCTCAAGCCTTTAAGGCAGCCTACATTTAAAGGGAATATCCCTATAATAGTCTTATTTAACCAGGGTGGCTCAAGGAAAAGAAATTACTTGGTAACTGTAATCCAATTGACCTCTGTGGCTTTAAAAAAGGCTTAAGTGGGGCTGATGATGCTAAAGTCGCACAATAAACTGAGAGAGCTAACATTAGGTGGTTAGACTCTTCACAGAGTTGCATTTAAGGAAACTATGCACATGACATTTTCTTATGCCCCCGTGGCATACGAAAACACTTACGCAGTCAACTTAAGACCTTAATATTGTTAACATTAAATGCTTGGACCCAGTTCAGGGGTCGAATTTAAGGGAAAAATATGTGCATATTTCCACAGTCCGGTTGTGGCTGTCACACTCTTGCGGTGGTCAACACAGGACCTTAATCTTGTTAACATTAAAACTGCCGGAGCCAAAGCAAGGATATGTATTTGAGGGAAAAATATGTGAATAGTTCCATACTCCAGTTAAAGCTGTCATAATAAAACACTGAGGTGATCAACTTCAGACCTTAATATTGTTAACATTAAAACTCTCCGAGCCCGTTCTGGAGCCGCTGTTTGGAAAAACGTGCGTAATATTTCCATATTTCAGTTTAGGTTTTCATAAGAAAACACTTAGGTGGAATGTAATGGCACCGATGTAAACTCAGTGGAAATATATCCACAGTTTTTACATTTGAAGAACAAATAATGACTGTTGAGGCTCCTTCTTGCTTTCAATATTGTGGTTTTGTGTTGATTAAAATAAATGACTGACTCAAAGAAACTTTGTATAGTGTATCCACTGACAGTGTGACTTTAAAGACAAGTTAAGTGCTTGTAGTTTAGCCCACAAAAGCAGTTTTATGACCATAAAAATCTTTCTTAAAATTACACATTGACTAATCAGCTTTCATCTGGAACACAAACATTTATTTTGAAAAGACTGGCACTCCTGCATGTTTGAGCAACATTAATAACATTTCTAGAGAGAAATATAAATTGTTCCCTAAAACAGTAAATTACATTTCATAAGTTCCATATGTAAGATTGAAGCGTTTTACATATTATTTTTATATATTAATCACTTTTTACACCGAGCTTGGAGTCCATTAACGTCTACAAATGACTGGCACCACAAAAAAAGTCCCATTTTTACCTTACAATAAAGCAGTGTTGGGCTTCTTGTTTCAGATGTCTATGAGGGACATTTCCCCTCTTAACTTCTCACATGGTTTCATATATTTATATATATGTACATACAGTATATAATAAATAATACAAAAGATAATAAAAAAAGTAAAAAAATGTACACAGATTTGTGAAGCAGAACTTTTCTTTTCTCCACCATTAATTATCTCCAGACCCCCTCAGATTTATTTTGTGACCCTTTGGAGGGGCCAAACCTCTATGTTGGGAACCACTGGACTAAACTACCAAACTGTATATAAAGTAGATAAAAACTAGCTCCACCTCGACCAACTACAGCAGTAAAATGCTGTATAATAATATAATAATATCGAATAATATTGAATAATGTCATATACTGTGTAATTGTAATCAGTCACAGCAGGACATTTTACTGTTTTGATGGTAATACTTCATGTCTAAATAAAATGGTATAAAAGTGAATTATGTAGAGAGATAGTGATGATTATAGATTGAAAGAATTAAATGAGATTATTGAGGGTGTAAATTTGTCATTTTAGGACACAAATTATTAATTTGAGGGAGTAAATTATCCAAAATGTTCCCCTAACACTGCCTGGCCTCTGCAGATTTCTGCTGACTCAGACTTAAAACTAACCATGATCAACACCAACGACTTATTGACTGCTTCATTAAGCGATGAGTGTGACTGAATCAAAAGAAGCGATTCCCGTTCCAACAGCCCTGTCACATAATGATTCCGGGATATATTTCAGCATCAGACCACAAAATAACTAACCACTTAAAAAGGAATCCCACATCTCCAACTGTTTATTCGCTTTAACAATAAAGCAAATAAACCCTTTTACTGCATGCAGAGTCTCGCTGAACAGAAGAAAGCAGCTGCTCTTCCAGTAATGTTCAGTTTTTCTTAGTTTGCATGAGTAAGCTAATCTTCCCTCTGAGTTACCACAGCTCGAGCCTTTTGGGTGCCACATAAACTGCCGTCTTTAATGCAGCTTCCTGTGGTTTAATCTGTAGTAAATGTAGAGGAGCCGATAGCTTCTTAGTCACACAAGTACAGTAAGAACCGAAAACAACAGTAAGAAATCTAAAAGAGCACCGCTACTGAAGACGAATTGAGCAAACCAGTCTTTTATTTTTCAGTCCAACTATAATGGGATTCATTAACTCTGAATGTGTTCTGTTTGGTCTATCTGGAAATCTAAAGATGATTATTTGTGTTAATTTGTCACCAACTCAGCATTAGTTTCAGTGGTAAATGCTGCATTCAAGTGGATTCCTGACGGCAACACAGTGCAAGGACGGCGAAACGAAACACTTACGTTTACAAAGAATGGAGGAAAATATGTTAAAGCTATAATATGTAACATTTACACATTAAAATGTCTATAAACACTAGACCTATGTTGTCCACCTGGTCCACTAAAATGACATCCGGCTTGCCATCTACCGCCTAAATTCAAGTAAACGTCCCCTGTGTTATTAGCATCAGATTCAGTGAGACGTATGATCTCTTTCTGCAGTGACATCCACTTTAAAGCATCTAGCCTGCACCTCCACCCTGCATTTACCCTGCATTAGTAATGTATACACTGGTAGCCATGGGACAAGTCCCCCACCCTGCATCTTTACAGCTCTGAACTGCAGACTCTGCAACAGGCCCTGAAGCATCTAAAATCTGTGACTTCTACAGTGGCAGCATCTGCAGACAGACTGCTTTTATGCTACTTTTCTGGGAGAAGAGAAGAGAGCAGTGGAGTCCATTACTGCGCTTTCGCTGATGAAGATAAATGACTGGTGCAAACCACATCACAGCAGAACCCTCATCAGCCACGAAAAGCCTCGGCGCTGATTATACCTAAGTCGTGTGTGTATACGAGCGGTGCAGTGTGTGTGTACGTGTTCTCACCACATCAAGGATGAGCTTGTTGATGTCAAAGTTGGGCTTCTTCTTCACGCTGCGGATGACGCAGCTCTGGACCACAGTGCCTCCACATTCCACCTGCAGGCTCGGGGAGGTAATGCTGGCCATCTGGAAACTCTTCAGGTTACGAACTCCCCACGCTAAAATCTGACAGAGTGGGCAGGAAGAGAAGTAAGTTCATCTTTGCAATGTTGTAAAATAATAAGATAATAAGTTGGTTGGTAAGATACTTTTCAGACCCATCTTTTAAGCTTACAGGAGTATTTATTTATCAAAAGGTATATTTTCAGATGTGTTCCTTTAAAATTATAAGCTTCAGAGAAAGTGTCCCTACGAAGGTTGCTGTGTGAAGCAGTAAAAAGCTGTAGTAGTTCTACCTCGATGGCGGTTCTCTGCAGAACAGGTTTGATCCCCTGAGGAACCACGAAGACGTTGGGCTCTCTCTGAGGCGGCGGGTACGGGAGGTCCGACTCCTCCGGCTGCCGATGGGAAACGCAGGACAGCGACGAAGAGACAGAAAACACATGAAAAGGAGCCATGCTGTTCACTTCCAAGCAATGCAGGCTTTTTTTTAAAGGAACTTAAACGACTGTTAACCGTCATCCTACCGACTGGGGTCCGCTGAGGTATGTTTTTTGTCATATCTCACAGGTGCTTGAGTCTATCATTCCTATTTTTCATTCATTTTGTCAATGACTGTGCTCCATATGTAGCTTAATTTGTGCTTTAAATAAAATCCAATCTCAAAAAAGCACCCAATTCTGCCTCTGCAGTTATACATTTATTGGGGTCCTAATTTAAAGTATTGGGGCCTTTTTTTAAAGAGACAGACACAAATTTCCTCATGTGCTCTATTTAAGTTTTAAACAATTTGCAAATTAACTGTAACTTTACTTAATGATCTGGTGACTATAATTACATAACTAATAATCTTTTGAGAAGAAATAATTTTGTTTTGTTTCCTACATTAGTTTCTGGGGTCTCCAGGAGCTGCAGTCGGTAGTCCTTGTTGGTAGGATGAGGATTAAATGACTTAATGTTTGGTATTAACATATCAGATGAGTTTCAGAGTGTTAAAAACACACAAATGAGACATTCAAGTGAAAAACGATGCAGGTTTTTGACAAAACAAGTCTGTTACAGGCAGCAGAAGGACAAAAAGGTTTGATTTGCCTTGTTTTGTTATGTTTGCTCCTGATGATTAATCACAAAATACAAAATAAATATTTACAAAGATTTAACTTCATTAAAAAATAGTTATTATATGACGACTAGAAAGACCGTAAACAGCTTTACACAGATTCTTATACTGACAACAAAAACTACAAAATACATGTTACTGTATGTTGAGATCAGAAGAATAACAAAAACTGTTATTTCCTAATGACAAAATATGTATTCTGTGATCTCAAGAAACAAAAGAAAGAATCAGGATGTTCAGGACGTAAATATAATCTGTACAGATGTCTTCTCTGGCCTTCCACACAAAATCAACAAAATATAGAAAAAACACAAAATGTTGTTGGTGGCAGTTTGAAAAAAATGACAGAAAATTGAAAACAAAGGAAAGCAGAAGAGTGTGTAACGTGACGATGAATGATGAAGTTATCTGTGTGCGCTGAACATGAACATGAAACAGGATGGCTACGTATACTGCATGCTCATTTTGTGTGTTTGCCTGTGTGCACGTTGTACCCATTCCTGCAGGTTTTCCGAGAGGAATCCTGGAAACATCAACTGAGGAAGCGACGTCGAAGCGAGAGAGGAGGAAAAAAGGATCAAGAGCAGTGAAATAAAAGGGAAGAAATGCAGGGGTCAAATTTCAGCAAAAGGTAAAACATCAGAAGAGATATTAAGGAATTACTAAGAACATAATTCAGGGTAAAAAGAGTTCATTAACTGTGCACAGAAGCTTGTTATCAACACAAATGTGTCGCGTTATAGAATTAAAACTCCAATTTCAAGAGCAGACATAAAAGAGGGAACATTATTTTTCATAATCATTTTTGAGATAATATCAACTTTCTTTCAATAATAAATTACAAAATCCAGATGACTTTCAAGATGCTGCATGTCTCTTTTTATACATATGTGCCCCCTGGCTGCTGATGGATACATCAAACCTTTTAGCTCTCCTTACAGTGGTCTGTTATTGGGTTAATATGTGTGTAGATGCACATGGTGGTGCGACTGTTGTGGTTTTACCTCGTCCAGAACGTGAGTGGAGGTCATGACGTCCCCCTGTAGGCGAGACGGGAACAAACAAGTTTGAAAATGTAGAAAAAAGATGGAAATTAATTAGAGGAGACGAGCGGAAAAGGAAAAAGTGAAAGAAAATGATGAACTTACCTCTTGACCTGGAATATGGTGAATCGCTGGCTGTAGACACAAAATGGAGACATGAATTACTACATTTACATCGGCAAACATGTAATTTTAATGAACGTGAACTTGAGAATTTGTCTGACAGCTTAAGTTTCTTTACAAACTACAGAAAATTCTCCTACTTCTTGAGCTAAATAAACTATTTTAAAATAGGAAAATGCATCATCACAAAGCAGAAAACAGACAATTCTTCTTGTAAAAAGTTGAATTTTAAGAGATACATGGGTTCTCTACGCTACAAACACATGATGATCTTATAGAGTATGATATATTGCTGTAGACTCAACTACCAAACAGTGTATAAAGTAGTGAAAATTAGCTCTACAGTGGTAATTAATCCAAAAACATCAGATATAATAGTAAAACACTTTACTGCACAATGGCTACTTCTACTTTTGATGCTTTAAGTGAATGAAATGCTTAGATATAGGCTGACTGTATAATTTTAATACTGTGAAAGTAAAGTGAAGTGTGGCGACCCCTAGTGGGGGCCCTGACCCCCAGGTTGGGAACCACTGCTTTAGAGGGGTAATTTAATACTGAAATTGTGACTTTTTATATCACAAAAAGAAAATAAATAAAGCACTGATGATGATGATGATGATGGTGATGATGATGTTAAAACTTTGGAAGGTTGACCTCTGACCTTTTCTCTGCGTAAGAGCTCGAAGGCGGCCAGCAGCTCGCCGGCGTTCTTGTCCCCAAAGCGAATCGGGAACCAGGCCAGACGTGGGGAGGCAGTCAGGGAGGGCTGGCACACACAGCGGCCCATGAACTCATCAGCACCCTGGACATTTAAAACACACACACACACACACACACACACACATATATAATCTTTACACATGGAAAAAGAATACTTAATACTCATTTGTTTTGGCATGAAAGGCAGAATTGCAGCTCAACACGTACGTATGTGTCCGAGTCGTAAAGCTCCACCAAGACGTTGGGTGGAGTGGCCATCGTGACCTCGGGGTCGCCGAAAATCTCGACCTCGTAGAAGATGAGCGTCTGGTCCCAGGTGGGATTGAGAGTGTTTCGCATCGTCACTGTTTTCTGGGACTGATGGAGGAACGACACGATGGCATACGAGTCTGGAGAGAGAACGACAAAACAAAAAGTGTTTGTGAGTCTTTTTCATTTGCTGCTTTGAACACACAAGCGGAGGAATCGTGGTGAGATTTTGGTTTGTTTTAAACACGTAGAAGAAGAAATTATTAGTGAACCAAGCTGCAAATGAACCTTCAATTGATGTGAAAGATTTCTAAGTAATTACCGACTCTGTGCTGAATCAGTAAATCAGCTTTTCAGGATTTTTTTAGCAACATTTTTTCAGTTATATCTGATTCACTGGTTCTCAAACTATGGTATGTGTACCACTGGTGGTGTGCGAGCTGCCTCTAGTGCAGTGGTTCCTCCACTAGGGGTCGCCAAAGCTTCACAAAGGGTTCGCGAGGCCTTCTTGATTTTAAGGCGTGCTAGAAAACGTATAAAATATATACACACCAGCCCTATATGTCATCTGGATCACTTATGTGAAGTAAAATAAATGTAAATTATCTAATGGAACAATGGTCAAGCATCAGGGATAAGAAAAGTCTGTATGACTAAAAAAAAAATATTTAAAAAAGAAAATTTACAGTACTTACATTATACTTATTTTAACCTAAACAACAATCCCAACTGAACTAAACCAAACTGCGACTGTTTAAACTCAGAAAATGTGACATGTTTCTCAGCAACGCTTATTATTTTGAAAGTCTAACCAGATGTTACATAATAAATGTTGCTAACTTGGACACTAGAGGGCAGCTGCAGCATCATATTTTGAAGCGTAGGGCCGTTGACCAGGCTGTCATATTTGACGAGTTCGGGGTGAGAACGTGTGGGTCTGTGTGTGTGTGTGTGTGTGTGTGTGTGTGTGTGTGTGTGTGTGTGTATGTGTGTCGGTGTGATTGGGAGCAGAAATGCCAACTATGATGGCATCACAAACTAAGTCACTGGAACACAGGGCAGAGAGTCAGAGCACTTTTAGGACATTTTAAGAGGGGAAAAGTCTCATCAACAACTCGTATCCACCTGAGATAAACTAGACCAGCCACTGGTTTCATCTTTAACTAACTGTATTTTATAGGCTGATCATATGTTTCTTTATGTAGAATCTTAATTTCAAAAGTAGTAAAGACAGTTGTCAGAAGTATAAAGTAGCGTAATAGTGAAGGTCAAGTACAAGTACCTCAAAACTGAACTTAACTACATATTTGAGTCACCACTCTCAACGACAGGTGCCAAGTCCCCTTTAGTTTTTAGCACCTTTAACACAATAAAGTGCTTTAAATGTCGATAAATCAGCTGAAAACAACTTAAAGGTAAAGTATAAACAGTTACTTTAAAGTGAAAATACTAAAAAGAGATAAAGTGGCAGTGAACAGACTCCAGGTCAGATTTTTAGCGGGCGCTTGTTTGCCCTCTTCGCTGTCCTGAGAGGAGAGAATGAGGTTATAGTTGCGTTTTTTAAATGAAGGTCCTCACACAGTAATTAACCAGCACAGAACCTTATGATTTCTGTGGTGTGTGTGTGTGTGTGTGTGGTGTGTGTGTGTGTGTGTGTGTGTGTGTGTGTGTGTCCAAACTATCCCGGCGTCCCACACAGTGACATCAGCATCTCGGGAATGCCGAGCTCGAGACGGAGGGCTGGGAACGCCGCTCGGAGAAGTTTGTTATTCCAGGTCACAACCACTCTCCTCCATGTTAACACACACGCACACACGCACACACACACAAACATGTACAATGTGGACACATGCATACAAACACACATATACATACAGTTACACACACACACACAGTGAGTAGTTTGTTATTTCAGGCCGAGTAAAGAGTCTCTATGGAGCCGTTAGCATTAGAGTAAACAGAAGCTAAGTTGCATTTTCCCACCAGCCCTCAATTAACCTTGGACACACACACACACACACACACACACAGACACACTGTACAGACACACCACCCATGGTGACCCATTCAATTACCGTCCACTCCCAACAGCCCATTAGCTCATATAAACAGCAATACAAACAGCCCAGGGGGGTTATGTAAGTTTCTGTGTGTGTGTGTGTGGTGTGTGCTGTGTGTGTGTGTGTGGTGAGGGGAAGCAAGTAGTGGGGACCCCAAGTGGAGCAACGTGGAACATAAACAGCAGTGAAGACTGGGGAAGAGAGAGGGAGAGAGAGGGAGATCTCTAAATGTGGGAATTTAGATCATCACCCAAAATAAATTCTAAAAACAGACAGAAGACAGAAATAAAGACATAAAGAGTTTATAAACAGACAAGGATGAAAATAAAGGGTGAAAGATAAGATTTTCTGAGGGAGGCATTTCACTTTTTGGGTAGTGACAGTAGAGAGAGACAGGGGAAGCTGGGAGAGAGAGAGGATGACACGCAGTAAAAGGCCCGCTAAAGTAAGACCATGCTTCTTTTCCTGTGTCCGAAAATCCATAAATAAAATCTCTCACTCAAATTGTCTCCTTTATAAAGCGAGCTGTTAACCTGAATGCATTTATTTTGTCTCATTTATAAAGTATTCAAAATGTGTACATTGTTTTACTGATGATGAAGTTGTGATTTATCAAACGTATATCTCTTCAAAATGGCTGCTTGACCTGTTTAATAAAATATGAGGTGACACAGAAATAGCAGTGAAAATGGTCAATAACGTTCATTTATGCACATTTATTGTTCTTCTCGCTGTGAATTGGTGTCACCATGGTTTGTTATTTCTAAAAAGTTTGGGGAAAAAACTACCTCAAACCATTTTAGTTAATTAACTCAAACAATTTAAGTATGAAAGATTTGATTTGAGTCCAAGTAACTATATACGTTGAAATTATTCTTCCACTAAAGCAATCACCTGTCAAAACAGCTGACGTACAATAAAAACGATATATAATATAAAGTGTTCTGCTAGCCTACTTTGTTATTTATGTGAGTAACACATAAAGAATTATTCGAGCATATGATGATCTATAAACTGAAATAATAGCACTATCGCACAGTGGCGCTTACATTTCTGTAATGATATAAAGTCGACTTAGAGAAAATGAGTCTAATGGAACAAAGTGGAATTAAATCACCAAAACTTAAAATACTGCACACATTCAAGTTCACTCAAAACAACCGAGTTATTACTCCGACAGTTCACTCTTGAGTCAGGGTGAATTCATGGGAATGAGTGACTCATTTCAATCCATTTCACTTTCTATGTAGGAGCAGGAGATCCAGCCACGCGATGCATGATGGATACGCCACGGTGAGCTGCACTTTGTCCAAATGAAGTCCGTCCAGCGCAGCGGGCTCACGAACGCAGATCAAATTAGGCAGCGCCAAGCGAATATGAATCTAGATTGTGTTTCCGGCCTCAAATGTTTTCAGAGACATATTTTAGTTCACTGTTCAGCCGTAATATGTTAATAAGGTTCTGGGGCGGCCGCCACGTTGAAAGCAGCAGATCCAAAAACCGAGGCGCCGGCAAAACTCGCCGTTTTCCAAAGGCAGACGGGATGAAAAGATAAAAGACGAATCTGATTTAGAGAGGTAGGAATAAAGGCAGAAAGGTGGACGGACGGATGGACACAGATGGACGGAGAAAAGAAAGAAAGAGCTCAGTCTTTGATGGTTGACTCAGCCTTTAATCATGGCCGCCCAGACGCTGTTTAACACCAGATTAACACACAACTGAAGCCCATCCATCAACTCTACTCATCCGTTACACTGTCTGTGTGTGTGTGGACGTCTGCCTCTCTCTAACCCTCTTTAACCAACCTCCCTCCATCATCTATCATCCCTCTCTTCCTCTGTCTATTCATCCCTCTGTTTTCCAAAGCTTCGTCTCTGTTTTTACATCTGAGTCTGCGGTGGGTTTCTGATTAACGCGCGCACAGTAGCCGTAGTTTCCATGACCTTCTTCAAATAAAACATTTTCTCTTTTTTTGTCCTCTTTCTGTGTCACTCGTTCTTTTCATAACCTCACTCTCTCTTCTTTTTGCCGTGAGATATGATGGCGGTTTTCTGTGCAATTCACAGCCTGTACTATAGAAAGAATAAGAAATAATTCTTTGTAGTTGTGTCACTATGACTGAACCCTGTCACATTACACACTGTGATTTGATCTATTGTTATAATAAAAACATTCAGACAGCAGCTTTAAATAAACATCCTCTAAATATTAGTCCTTTTGTCATTATTACAACTCCAAAATTAATTTTAATTGGTTCAGGTAATAATAATCGTGATATTAAAAAACAAATTATTGATATCGAGTTAATATTACACATATAAAATTAAATTAGCTTTTGTTTCATTACCGTGAGTTATTTTGACTACAGTAATCGTGTAGTGAGCCCTAGTAATGTACTGTGCTTCTTAATCCTTCTTTCCACCCATGAAGGAACACTTATTTCTTTACATTTCACACTCTCTTTTTCAAGATAGTGCCTTAAGGAGTGCCTCTTTAATGCCACTGTGTGCTCAAAGTTTTATGTTTTATAAAATCAATGCAGTTCAAAGCTTCAGCAGCAGTGAAAGAGCTGCCTTTCCGGGGCACCACTGGGAGCAAGTACAACAATGAATGTTCAGAGACCTGAAAGCTGTTTCATTATTGAGAAGCCTGTGCCTATTCTTTGTTCATTTGTCCTCCTCTCTGACGGTTTGGCTGACTAGACTACGCAGAGCAGCTGATAAGGTTGAAACTGAGCACCCAACATATCGTAGTTGTACTCGTGATGGAAGACCGAGGTTGAGAAGAGTCTAACAGGCAGACTCCTTTATGCGTGTGACTCTGGGTGTCATTCAACGTGACTTAGGATAGTGTAGGTAGGTTTAGAGTTTGTTTTGGATCTTTACACATATGTAGCTGTGCAAGTTATGACCATATTTAAGACACTAGTAGATCTTGTGGGTCTTACTTTCTGTGGTTACCTCCCTTCTGTCTGTTCCACATTGAGCTCAATGCCACAATTTAAACTTTCCAGCCACCAGATGGCGCAAGTTACCAGCATCACACTGCTGCACGGACAGACACATGATGCCAAACATATCAAAGATTTTGAATAATTCGCTGCACAGTACCTGAGAAGCTGTCTTTGTCCATGGCCAGCAGGTCTCTGGCTTGGTACAGGTAGCAGCGCAGGTGGTAGCGGGTGCCGGCTACACACACACAAACACACACACACAGACACACATCAGTGTATTGACAAATAAAGTGAAGGGGGTGAAGAAGATGTTAGGAAGGATGAAGAGTATGAAGGGAGCTGAAAGAGGGAAGAGTAAATAAATGTGTTGTCTTACTGTCGAAGAAACAGGAAATGGTCGGTCTGTTGACTCCGAACGTGGTCGTGACCGACCTGTCCTCGTTCTTGTCCTCTATACTGCTCTGTGGGAGGAGGAGGAGGAGGCCAAGAACAACGGAGATGAAGTTCACATTCAAAAAGAGAAGAACAGGCAACTCAGTAGCTTGAAGGTATGATAAAAAAATTCATAAAACACAGCACTCTCTTTCTGCAAGGCCTTCAAAATAAAAGACTTAATTTAAGCTTCTTGAGTCTTAAGAAAAACTACATGGCCAAAAGTATACAGACATGCACACGTCTCATGGTTTGGGCCCCTTCCAGTGTATTTTAATGTTTGTCCCTGTTTCAACATGACTATTCCCCCATGCACAAAGCCAGCTCCATAAATAAAAGGTTTTCCTAGTTTGGTGTGGAAGAACTGGACATGCCTGAACTTTTAGATAAACTGGTAAGTCAGACCTTATCACTGAAGATCATTGGTAGACCTCACTGATACTCTTGTGTCTGAATGAGAGCAGCAAAGTTTAACATCTGGTGGGAAAAACTCAACAATCACATGTTGGTGAGAAGTCCAGGTGTCCACATACTTTTGGCCATGTCGTGTATCTGAAATGATTGTATAACTGATCAGTAAACAGTTTTTCCGCTCTCTGTTTCTCTCTCACCAGAGAGCACTCCAGAGCAAAGATGGCCGCCGGTCCCGTCTTCTCCAGCGGCTCCATGCGGCGCCTCCACCTGCGCCTCCTGAAGCTGTCCGTCTTCCTCGGCTTCAAGTGGAACCTCCAGCCGAACAGCGACGCGTACTCCCAGCCCTCCTTCTCTGCCTCGTCCGGACGCTGCTGTAAACACACACACACACACACACTCTCTGAACTTCTGTGTGTTTCATCCTTTCTCTTACTCATTTGTGCAACTACATCGCCATCTAGTGGCTGGTAGAGGAAACTGCTCATATGAGAGGATGACATGACAGACTCTTCAGGAATTGAAAATGCTTATCAGCTGTGGTAACACCACAATATAAACAAGTTAAAGAGTCGTATTTATACTCTTATTTAAGTAAAAGTAGATAAATATGATATAATATACTATTATTCTATAATAATACATCATAATGTATTAGTTTATTTATATTTTGTATCAATAATCTGAATCTGCAAAGTAACTAATGTTGTCAATGTTGGCTTCCAATATGTAGTGAAGTATAAAGTACCATATATGGTACGATTCCAGCTGCTGATCTTTGTTGTATTTCATACCTCTCTCTGTTTTCCAGCATTTACAGTCACTGACAGTAACTCTACTGTCAGTTTCAAATAAAAAGGCCACAAATGTCTCCCTCTCTACCCGTCTGAGAGCTTCCATCTTCTGCTGGTCCCGTCGTCTCATTCGTATCCACCGTCTCCTTCGGTTGGTGTGGTACATCTTTTCTGCCGGCACCCACGACTTGGGACGACGGTCTGGAGGGATGGGGATGCCGTACTCCCAGCCTGGAAACAAACACATACAGAACGGGACTTATTGATGCTGTGTTTTATTTAGCTTTTGTTGAGTTTTTACTTGTGAAAGTGTGTGTGAGCGCACCTTGATCATCCACAGCTCTGTTGAGATCTTCGCTCCACTCCACCTCCTCCCACACCCAACCTGGAGGACACTCCACCTCGTCTTTTGGCACCGCCTTCTCCCCATTCTGATGCACACACACAGTTTTATGAGTGAAGCCATAAAAGGTACAGAAACACACACACGGGTGCAGTATTTATACACATGCATTTGATAAAGGGGAGAAGAAAACACTGAATTTGTCCCAAAAAAAGAAGCATATTAAGTCAAAATGTAAAAACACTTTAATTGTATAAAAAGTTCCTAAAAATATCAGGAAAAATGTTTCTCTGATGGAATATTCACACGTACCACGTCAGTGTACCCCTCGGGCATGCCGATCCACTGTCCGCCGGGTAACCTCATCTGGTTTTCAAACACTTCCTCTGTGAAGGTCATGTGACCGGCGTCCACGTCATACAGCAGTCTGAGGGTTTATCATCGCAGACGTACAACAGTGCACATGAATACACGCAGATACAACCACAGACTCTCTCACACACATAGATACTGTAACTACCTATAGCTCATCAGTGCAATATCCAATGAGCATCTTAATGATAAAACATGACTATTGTCCTCTCTGGGTTACTGTAGTTTTGTTGACCTGGTGATTCTTTCCAGTGTCGTCTGGTGTGAGAATACAGAACCCAAACAGCCAAAAATGCAGCTCGAAGAGGTGGAAGATGTTGGAAAACAGACGACAAAAAAACAACAAAAACTAAGACAAATAATATTTAAAACTGCAGTGAGGGAGATATGGAGGTTAAACTGGTGGAATAACTTAATAAAGTGGCTCCATCTTCAGCTGTAATGCTCAAATAATAAAAATAAAATAAAAAATATTTCCAGTGATTATTTGCCAGTATGTAGTGGGAACAACTGAATTTTAGTGGATTAAATTGCCCCCAAAAAAGAGCAAAGGTGCCTCTAAAAATCTGTTGAAAGGGGGCGCAAAGTAGATTAAAAAGAAAAAAAGTGATTTAGAAAAATTAAATAACGACACACAGACTTACGTCTTCTCGGGGCTGATGTACCAGTCTCCGGCCCAAGTCCAGCTTGGTGAGGGTTTGAAGCTCTCTTTGGGAAGTTTAACTCTTCCAGTGACGTCGCTGAACTTGGGGGAGGTTAAACCTGTAGTTCCCCAGCTGCCCACCAGGGCAAGTCGGGTCTGGTTCTCATACTGCAGAAAGAGAAAGAGAGAGAGACAGATGACACTTAATGGCCTCCATATTTCTTTTTTGTTCAAATGCGTGAGAACAGAGAGCTTGACCGGCGTAGCAACAGTAACTGAGAAGGGCTGGACTTCAAACTGTCTTACTGAACATAAATAAATGTGATGAGTGTGATTTATGGCCTAAAACATGAGGTCAATTCTGACAGAAGCAGCATCTCACCGCCTCAGCAAAGACCGACAGTTTTCCTTCCGCGTATTGGTTGAAGTGTTTGACGTCAGCAGCCAATCCAAACCAGACTTTCACCCTCAGCTGACCGGGAAGTTTGGGCTCCTTGCTGCTGCCCTGCGGGTGCTGCACAGCAGACACAGCAGGGGGTCAGAAAAACAAACTTTATTTGAGAAGACAAAATGCATCTGTGTGTGTGTGTGTGTGTGTGTGTGTGTGTGTGTGTGTGTACCTTGAGGAAGACAGTCTGCAGCTGTCCACAGTGTTTCCCGGCAGTGCTTGCTGGGAGAAGGCACATGTGTGCCGGGATGCGGTGGTACGCCACCTGCGTCGCCTGCATCATCCATATCACGATGGTCTGGAAGGCTGGTTCTGAGGTTGGGGGGCGAGAGCATAGAGCAGAACAGAGAGAGAGAGGGACAGAGATATGGGTTAAAAAGTCATGCTAGTAGCTGCCTTGATGCACATTATTTGGCAATTTTTTTGGTGCCAAGACCCAGTTGATTCACATCAGGCGCGAGACCCAGATTTAAGTTACTCTGACATAACGATAGTAGTGATTAACAGGTTATGAAGCAGAACTAATGTATTTGTTGATTTAATTCTATATTACTTTCTCTCATTGGACTAACTTTTATTGACTCGAAATAATAGTGAAATTTAGATATTTACCCCCTGAAACACCCTCAAGGTGCAGGTACAGTGTAAGCCAGCTAATGCAAACATTCATTACTAGAAAGGTTATTTAATAAACGTGCTCACCTCCTCAGCCATTGTCCTCAGCCTGCTGGCCCAGTCCTCTGCCTGCTCCAGCACCGTGGACAGCTCGGTGGCAGTTCCGTGCTTGAGAGCGAGCGCCGCCGAAACGATCTGCTGCAGGTGGAGGATGCGAATGTGCCTCAGCGAGCGATCCAGAGGGGTCGCACACTGCCACTGGTCGATAGAGGGCAGCTCTTCACTGGAGACACAGAGAGAGAGAGAGAGAGAGAGAGAGTGAACGGTGTAGCATGTGCAGTCTGAAGCAAGGTTAATTATAGTTAAATAACGCATAAAACATTTTATTTAACTGGAATAAAAATTAAAACTACAAAACTGAAAAAAGAAAAAAAAATCTTTTTGTCATTTAAGGCAACAGATTACAAGCAATATTATTAATTAAATTTCACAATGTTTGGTATTGAGTTAATATAAATTAAATGAGACACTTTGTAGTTAATATATAGGAATAGGAATTATTTATATTTACATATTTATACATTTTTTAATTCTACTAATAAGAATTAATTAAATTTTACACATCAGTGTATATAATTGAGTATAATCACCTTAATTTATCAGTGAATTGATTTGGATTTATTCAATTATATTTATTTATTCCATTTATTTATCTTTTATTTTCTCTTAACAGAAAATTATGGGAAAATATAAAAGAAATTTTAAGAGAATATTGCTGCATGAGGCCCAATGGGTCATATTTTATAAATGTTAAAATCTTAATCTGCAAAGCAACTATTATAACTACTATAGCTGCAAAATAAATGTAGTGGGGTACAATATTTTTCTCTGAAATGTAGTATAAAGTAACATAAACTAGAAGCTCTGAGTAAAGTACATTACAGTACTTGAATAAATGTACTTATTTACACACAACCAACATATAAAACAGCTAAAATGCACTCGTCCTGACGGTGATGTTACTCTGTTTACCTGCAGTCTGTGATGACCTGATCCAACAGCTCCACCACTCGGAGCTCCACCTCCTCCAGATCACCGCCTGCCTGCACTTCCAGCTGCACCCGCTGCAGGTTGGCCTCCTGGACACACACACGTTCACATGGTTAATGGTTAATGCATGGTTAATACTGAGGTGTTTAATTGCCGGGTTTGGCTCCTGCCACCCCGGGGATAAGTCAAGTATTGTTAGCTGCATGAGCTAACAAGCTAACGGCCTCTAACAATAGTGTTAGATTATCTCCGGTAGCTAGTCATGCTGTTAGATAGCTAATTAATGAACCTTCACTCTGTGCTGTTAAAAGTTGAGGATTGATTGACGAGTGGATGTCATGATATTAGAAAACTCCCCCCAAAATTTTGTTTTTCAACATAAAAATACAAAGAAATTGAGTTTTTGTAAAACATTTTGGCAGATATTGTTAAATATGGATACAATATACGTGATGGTGCAATATGAAAGGGTTAAAATGACATTTTAGCGGACCCACCAGAGCAGATACAACACTTACCAGTCTCTCTATGATAGCCAGCAGCATGTTGAGAGCCTCGATCCTTGGCCTAATGTCCTCCCACTCTGAAGACAGAACCACCACCGGCTTAACGTTTCCCCACGGGAGGTAATAATAGTGGCAACCTGGAACACACACAGATGATACAGATACAATCATTATTATCAAAATATTCAAATTAATCAACAACATTCTGCAAGCAAAACCGTATACCGTTAGCAACACGTGCTATTTCGGGATTTTGGGTACCGAACATTCCCCGAACCGTCACTCCTAGACCGAGGAATGACCTGAACCTGCTACCTGAATCTCAGCCTATTGCACATTTATACAGGTGTGCTGTACAGGTACCTGGATTTATTGCACATATAAAGTCACCTTTGACCTCTAACTTTTAGACCTTTTCCTCACCGTCAAACACCGCCCTGCTGAACTGGGTGGCGGAGGCCAGAGGGAGGCAGGTGTAGTCGAACTTGTTGCCGTAGTTACCGATGCTGACCTCGAACTGGATGGCGTCGTCTACGTCCTGGAGGAGCGTGGCCGAGTAGAACGAGACGAAGAGAGAGAACTTCCTCTTCCTGAGGAACTTCTGTTGGACAGAGGAGAAGATTTGAGACATGAATGAAGGACGGATGATACCTTTTCTTCGTGTGTTCAAGTGTTTTTATGTCATCCTTCCCTCTCACCTCCACCACCAGCAGGTCATCTGATGGTATGTCTTCAATTTTCTGCTCCGGTTTGTCCACCAGCTTTGTGGTTACTTCCAGTAAAACTCGGCCACGGTACGCCACGCCCTCGCCCTGACAGACAGAAAAACATCTTTAAAGATATAATATGTGGGATTTCTGCATTAAAATATCTATGAACAGTAGAGCTATGTTATATATTTTGTTGTGTTCTTACGTTACCTCAAATTGTTTCCAACAATGTTCAAACTCACATAAATTTTGGTCATTTCATTCAAGTAATTCATGCGTTTCATTGGTTGGTTTTCATTAAATAAATTGTCTATATGTTAATATAATCATTTTTGTCAAATTGTAATTCTACATTGTATATCTGAGCAACAAAGGAATTCTAATATGACAGAATATTTTCAACATTATCTTGAATTAAGTATTTTTTCAAGCCAAATTATCCATCTAAAGCTTCTCAGCTACAATGATTTGATCCTTTTCTTTGTCTTATATGAAAGTAAAGTTTGGGTCAACCATTGGTTAGACAATACAAGTAATTCCTAACGTTTTAATAGACCAAACAGGGAAAAAAACATCAGTTGCAGTCATAAGAGTAGACATACAACAAACATATATATTATGTTCATATTAATGATAATATACAAAAAATAACCAGCTAAAATCGAGTTCTAGATGATTTTCTTACTTTCAAATTATTCTCTACCTATAATTTACGGTGATGACTGATTTCACGGTACTGAACATTAAAGTGTTCATAAAGTGAAAGTGAAAATCAAATAAAGTGAAGTTACTTTTCCGAGGTTTAGAGCTTCGTGTGGGTCGTTGAAGGCGGTGAACTCTCTGGGGCTGCCGTACAGGTTGACGAAACATGGACCGAACGTCGGCAGGAAACCAAGACTGTCATCAACTGCAATGACACAATAGATTTAATTACAAACACGGCTGAATGTGCAGAGACAAAAATGAAGAAAAGATTAATTGATTGATTGATTGATTGATTGATGAAAATTACGTTCACAAATTCAGATTTAGAGAGTTTTTTCAGAATTAAGCCAAGATGGAAACAGTTATGAGCTTAAAGGTGAGTCACAAAATGAAGTGAAACTGTTGAATTTTGACCGTTTCACTGAAAATAAGAGAGGATGGTGGACGTACTGCCAGAATGGACGGTCCGTGGAGTCAAGTCATCTGAATGCGTAGAGAGGAAGGATGGTTCAGAGTCAGACAGAAAGGAAACAGACGTCTTTGAACGACCACTCAATCCCAAACGGATGCATTTAACACTCAACACAAAACCCTGAATACTCGTACTTGTTTCAAGTAAGTTACTAAGTTACATGTGAAGTATATGTGATTTGTGCTGTAATTCAGGAGCTAAAGCCTTGAAAAACTAAAACTGGTGAAGCCCTTTAAGAT